TCGGTCTCGGTCTCGGTCTCGGTCTCGGTCTCGGTCTCGGTCTCGGTCTTGGTCTCGGTCTCGGTCTCCTCGGTCTCCTCGGTCTTGGTCTTGGTCTTGGTCTTGGTCTCGGTCTCGGTCTCCTCGGTCTCCTCGGTCTCGGTCTCCTTGGTCTTGGTCTCCTTGGTCTTGGTCTCCTTGGTCTTGATCTCCTTGGTCTTGGTCTTGGTCTTGGTCTCCTTGGTCTTGGTCTCCTCGGTTTGGTCTTGGTCTTGGTCTTGTTCTCGGTGTCCTCGGTCTCGGTCTCGGTCTTGGTCTCGGTCTTGGTCTTGGTCTCCTCGGTCTCCTCGATCTCCTCGGTCTCGGTCTCGGTCTCGGTCTCGGTCTCCTCGGTCTCGGTCTCCTCGGTCTCGGTCTTGGTCTCGGTCTTGGTCTCGGTCTTGGTCTCGGTCTTGGTCTCGGACTTGGTCTCGGTCTCGGTCTCCTCGGTCTCGGTTTTGGTCTCGGTCTTGGTCTCGGTCTCGGTCTCCTTGGTCTTGGTCTTGGTCTCGGTCTCGGTCTCGGTCTCCTCGGTCTCGGTCTTGGTCTCGGTCTCGGTCTCCTCGGTCTCCTCGGTCTTGGTCTTGGTCTTGGTCTTGGTCTCGGTCTCGGTCTCCTCGGTCTCCTCGGTCTCCTCGGTCTCGGTCTCCTTGGTCTTGGTATCCTTGGTCTTGGTCTCCTTGGTCTTGGTCTCCTTGGTCTTGGTCTTGGTCTTGGTCTCCTTGGTCTTGGTCTCCTCGGTCTTGGTCTTGGTCTTGGTCTTGTTCTCGGTCTCCTCGGTCTCGGTCTCGGTCTTGGTCTCGGTCTTGGTCTTGGTCTCCTCGGTCTCCTCGATCTCCTCGGTCTCGGTCTCGGTCTTGGTCTCGGTCTCCTCGGTCTCGGTCTTGGTCTCGGTCTTGGTCTCGGACTTGGTCTCGGTCTCGGTCTCCTCGGTCTCGGTTTTGGTCTCGGTCTTGGTCTCGGTCTCGGTCTCCTCGGTCTTGGTCTTGGTCTCGGTTTCGGTCTCCTCGGTCTCGGTCTTGATCTCGGTCTCCTCGATCTCCTCGATCTTGGTCTCGGTCTCCTCGGTCTTGGTCTCGGTTTCGGTCTCCTCGGTCTTGGTCTCGGTCTCGGTCTCGGTCTCGGTCTCGGTCTCGGTCTCGGTCTTGGTCTTGTATCCTTTCTCAAACATTTCGATATTTGTATTCTAACATTATGTTTTTTTTTTATTTCAGGTTTAATTCTCCACTACTGAACCCACTGCTATCATCAGCCCAACCGACTTTATCGACTTTAGTCAATCAAACGTAAGTAAGCTCATATCAAGTATCTATCAGGCTGTATGTATTAAATTGTCCTGGCTGGTGGTTGATATATTGGGAGGTATGTTCTGGATCACCAGTACAACCAGGAATTGTAATGATAGGCTGGACCCGAGCGGTAAACAGTTGAATAGTTGTTGAAATATTATATTTGTGATGTGGACTCTCCAGAGTCCACTGGTAGTGTGAAAGGCCTTTAGGACGAACAGCGATTGATAGTAATTTGCAAACACACTTCTTTCTTCGAATGATACTTTTATTATTCACTATTTTTACAATTAATATTTATTGATAACCTTTTGGTTATCATATCAGCAAAGACTACATTTTACTGAATACTATGTCTGGCTCTAAGCTTGACTCTAAGCTTGACTCCAGGTTTGACTGACTGTCTAACTTTTGTCTAACTCTTATATACTAATTCATTGTTTACAACCTATTTACAAAATCCAACAGTAAGCACTTCCGAAGTCCGCGTAACCTACATATAACTAGCAACGCGTTTTGTAATTATTAAACAAAATAATGATTCGAATTGTTATTACAGTTCAACCTCCCTCTTCAAAAGTTTTTCGTCCTCGGAAAACTATAAAAATTAAGAAAAAATTGAAAAAAAAATGAGTTCCATCTCTTCTTCCTTCGGCCCTTAAAAACTTTTGTCCTCAAAAGTGTCATTACTGTTAGAATATGTTTACAAATAATGTGCTCTGAAAAAAAAATCTTATAATAATTTTATTTTTATCTCTACATTAATAAATCTTTAATAACATACATACAAAAAAAAAATCAGCAGTTGAATGCAAATTAGATGGTCGCTGATTATGTAAAGGCATCACTGAAATTTAAAATGTTATTCCGGTAAAACAAAATATGTTTCGAACAACTTACCATAAATGATGCAAAATATTTTTTTTTTAAAACTGTTATCAATAGAGCATAAAAATCATAATATGAAAAATGTCTTTAAAATCTGCAAAAAATATTAATGGCGTAAAGAATCTTGCATTTGATAATTTAAATCATAAATAGTAATTAATAAAAATTTAATTTTACGTTGTATTGTTAATACTTGATATATTCGAAATTTGCTGGGTAATCAAAATTGAACAAATGTTGCTTTGAAATATGAGAATCTGCTTATGTCAACCAAACATAATGACTTGCGTTGTTACTATTGTGTTTACACCTGGCGAGTTTTTATTTTTTTCCGGTATTTATAATTAAACAATTTTGGTGCTGTTCTGAATATAATAAAATCGGGAATGTTTCTCTTCTTTACATGAGTTTGCGACGATATCAATTTTCTGCTGCTTTGGCTTTGTAAATGGCTTGCATATTTCTTCTTTGTGTTCAAATTCATATTCTTACGGTTGAACATATCTGTCATAGTGGCTATATTTTCATTTATAGACAATTTCCGTTGTGAAGGTATTTTTCTTATCATATTAATATTATATTCCCTGATTTCTTGATTATTTTCTTCTATAATTTCATCATTAATTTTTCTTCTTTTAATATTTCTTTTCTTTTTCTTTTTCTTCTTTATTTTAATGGGAATAGTTTTCATATATTCTGGTCCTTCATCATTAAGTATTCTTATTTCTTCTTGTTTATCATTAATTTCTTTCATGTCGTAAACCTCATCTTGGGTTTGTTCCATATCTTGTGCCACATATATGTTCAGATCCTTTTCTTCTTCGTATGAATTTGTTCGTATGGTTTGTTCCATATCTTCTGCCTCATATAGATCCTTTTTTTCTTCGTATGAATTTGTTCGTATGGTTTGTTCCATATCTTCTGCTTCATATAGATTCTTTTCTTCCTCGTATGAATTTGCACGTATGGTTTGTTCCATATCTTCGGCCACATATAGATCCTTTTCTTCTTCGTATGAATTTGCAGCGATCGTCGTCAACTCTTCTATTTTGGTGTTGTGAGTCAAACTTTCTGCTTTGTATTCTTCTTGTTCTTTGGATTCTTCGGACTCTTCGGACTCTTCTTGTTCTTCGGATTCTTCGGATTCTCCGGACTCTTCGGACTCTTCTTTAGTTGTTATGAATGCCTTGTATGTATCATCATATGTTTTTGTATATTTCAGATCCTTATTACTTTCGTAGTCCATTCTATCGTCATTTCCACCATTGTAGATTCTAAGTTTGTCATCTCTTTTCCTATTTGTAAGTTTTCGACATTGGTTAATGTGGTGTCCCCTTTTCTTGCAGTATCTGCAAGTGACGAATGGGTTGTATTTTTTATCAGATCTGATGTTTAAATATTTTTCTTCCTTTGCAGCGATGTGCATAGCATCCTTCAAATTTTCCGGTTTGGCTGCTTTAACTATAATTTCAAGTCCAATGGTAGGCCTTTAACAAAAACTGCCAAAGCCAAGTCACAATATGATGGATACGCTATTTCATTTTGTGTAAAATAGCATTCGTTGTTTATTAACGTAAGCAAATCTCAAGTTTCTCTGCAAATTCCTCAATCGATTCCCCATTTTTTCTTGTTGTTGTTGCTAGCTCGTGATGTAACTCAGATTGACCTTCTATCTTTAAAACGTTTAATTAAATAGGTTTGATATTATCCCATAACTGATAATCAGCCCGTCTAATGCAATCAAAAGCTGTTCCACAATTTACAATAACAATTTTTGATATAAATTTATATGTCTTAAAATCTACATCATCTAAAATTGAGTCTACAGTACTTAAAAATCTATAAAGGTCATCTGAATTGCCATTGAATTCGGGTATAGTGCTAATTGCTAATTGAATTCTAAATTTATTTATTTCTATACTATTATCTTTACCTTTTCTAGCTTCTTCAAAAATGGGTTCCATCTTGAGATATGATTAAATTTTGATTTGCTTACTTGAATCCGATGAGATAGTTATGTCCAAGTTAGTCGTAGTCTCGCGTTCGTTCTAAAGTGCTTCGGTAGGCGCCACCATCCCTTAGTTTGTGCTGTGAACGATCGTTCGGTTTGTCGAGTTGTGGCAGCTTTGAACTCGATGTCTCCGTCAGAAAATTCTTCAGCGTTACGAGGGAAAAAACCGCTAAGCCACCATGAATTGTCCTGGCTGGTGGTTGATATATTGGGAGGTATAGTTTGGATCACCAGTACAACCAGGAATTGTAATGATAGGCTGGACCCGAGCGGTAAACAGTTGAATAGTTGTTGAAATATTATATTTGTGATGTGGACTCTCCAGAGTCCACTGGTAGTGTGAAAGGCCTTTAGGACGAACAGCGATTGATAGTAATTTGCAAACACACTTCTTTCTTCGAATGATACTTTATTATTCACTATTTTTACAATTAATATTTGTTGATAACCTTTGGTTATCATATCAGCAAAGACTACATTTTACTGAATACTATGTCTGGCTCTAAGCTTGACTCTAAGCTTGACTCCAGGTTTGACTGACTGTCTAACTTTTGTCTAACTCTTATATACTAATTCATTGTTTACAACCTATTTACAAAATCCAACAGTAAGCACTTCCGAAGTCCGCGTAACCTACATATAACTAGCAACGCGTTTTGTAATTATTAAACAAAATAATGATTCGAATTGTTATTACAGTTCAGTATCCTTTCACAAACATTTTAAAAGATGTTTTCTAACCTTTTGTTTTTTTTATTGCAGGTTCTATTCTCCAATAATGAACCAACTGCTAT